AAAAAAAAGAACCCTTAAGAAAGGAAATGGTCACAATTTTTAAAATCTTCCTAATATTTTTCCTTTTTTGGACAATTTATATTTTAGGGCATTAAAGGTTTTGCTTTTGTGTAAAAGTCCCACAAGCACTTAGATACCAAAGGAATGGCATTGAAAAAGTCTGTGCTAAAAGGAAACAAAAAAGGTCTGTGCTAAAATGTTTTAAAAATTGTTACAAAATATTTTCAAGCACATGGACATGGAGAGAACAGTGCGTGCTCCCGTGTCTCCGCTCAGCAGTGGCCCACACCGGGCCCTCACTGTCCCAATCTTTTTTTCTCCTCCATTAACACTGCACCCCCCTCCCCCAGGGAGGATTTTCATCTGTAACGGTTTCGGTTTGCCTAACAGTGCTCTGCAGGGCTGACCGAGTTCACCGACAGCCTCTTAGCTGGCAGCACTTCTCTCCCCCAGGATTTCTTGTGTCTTCCTTTCCCCTGCCGTGCCTGGCCCGCCTGGTCTCTGGCTGCAATCCATTCATTACCTGTCTACAGTGTTCCCTCTTCAGCCTGCTGTGTTCTCTTCTGTTTTCTTTTCTCTTTTAGAATGTTTGTGAAGTTAATGTTAAATTCCTCGACTGTCTGTTCTAAAATACTAGAATATATTCAAATGAATCTCTAATTAAACGTTACCACTTTTATTTTCAAATATTGTATGCCTCACGTGTCTTATTTTTCCTTGCCAGATCATGTTCTGCTGGTGGACCCGGCTGCCTGGCAAGGCATCGTGTGTGGGGACGGCAGGCCCGCTGTGCCCACCAGCCCTGGAAGCTAAGGGTTCAGGGAAGGTGGAAGAGCCAGGGGAGGGAGCCAAGGGACCAGAACCCCACGTGCTCCTTATTCCTAGGCCTGAGGGGGCAGGGGAGCTCTCACAGGCCGGGTCACCCCCACAGACTCAGGCTGCCTCCCCTGCACAGGGCCTTTGACTATGCCCATTTTTTCCGAAGGGTACCTGGCACCAGGTGGTGCCAATGCAGGCAAAGCAGTAGTGCTGCTTACTGCCCACACAGTAAGCTTACTGTAAATTCTGCAGCCAGAAAGGACACAGTGCACAATGCTGGGGCGCCGATGCCACACATGGTCAGTCCCACAGGCGGGTCCTCAGGGAACCACCTCCCTTGGTCCCTGCTGGGGCTCACGTCTGCAGCCCACCAGGACACAGGTGAAGCATAGTTCTGCTGGCAAGTGCGTGCACCAGTGGAGGCTGCCGAGGCCATGAGGACATGCTCAGAGCTGCCCTCCTTCAGGGAGTGAGATGATAGTTTTCAGAGGTTGCAAGACTATTTCCTCCATTTTTCTAGGGCTATTCTCAACGTGATGGCTACATCTTAACTCTTCTCTGCATCTTCTCCGTCACAATAACAAATCCAGACTTAAGTTGATGTGTTTGCAGATTACTCAATGTGCAAAACGTCTTGAGACAGCTGATTCCAAGCTGCCAACAAATCACTGGCCTGAGACTGGTGGGGACACCAGCCCTGGCCCAGCAGATAGGAATAGACTGCAGGGGAGGCAGCATGGTGAGCAGGGGGTTATGGGGTTCCAGTACTGTTTAATTTTGAATTTATGCACTGCAATTTTGAATAATGGCTGTGTTCAACATCGGAACGCAGAGTCCCTGGTGCCACTGGGCAGCTTACCCCGCCTCCTTGTGGGGGAGGCCCTGGTGCCAGCACGAGGTGGTGCAGCCTACGCGTCTGGCCTCCCTCATGCTCTTCCTTCCTCCCCAGGAGCCACTGACACACATGTCCAGCCTGTTTACTTTTACTGTCCCCCCCTCCCTGGGAAGAGCAGCTGCTCACAGTGGGCAGGAGTCTCTGTCTCACTCACCGGCTGACAGTGCCTGACCCAGCCTGACCATGGATGGTGCTCACACAACACCTTTGTTGAAGCAAAGTTCAAAACCCTTAAAACTTTAAGTCGGGCTCCGTGAGATTCAGTATTTTTGTTTTTTCAGTTTTTGGCCAGCGCTGGGTTTGAACCCACCACCTCCGGTATATGGGGCTGGCAGCCTACTCCTTTGAGCCACAGGCGCCGCCCAAGATTCAATTTTTTTTTTTTTTCTTTCCTGAGACGAAGCCTCAAGCTATCCCCCTGGGTAGAGTGCCATGGCATCACAGCTCACAGCAACCTCCAACTCCTGGGCTCAAGCGAGTCTCCCACCTCAGCCTCCCAAGCAGCTGGGACCACAGGCACCCGCCACAACGCCCAGCCATTTCCTGGTTGCAGCCATCATTGTTGCCTGGCGGCCCGGGCTGGGGATTCGAACCCGCCACCTTAGGTGTATGTGGCTGGCACCCTAGCCGCTTGAGCCACAGGCGCCGAGCCGATTCAATATTTTTTAAAAATGCGAAACCTTCATCTTATTTGACAAAATATAGGCCACTTCCCCAGTACCAGTAGAGAAGACTGAGTCTGGACCCTCTACCCCACGTGCCAGGAGACCATCTGGAGGAATCTCCCCGCTACTTACTAAGTTCAGAGAGGGTTTCCTTCCATGCTTTTCTCTGAAGCTTATTTTTTTCTGAATCAACTTATGTTCATTACAATGTTGCTTTTATTATGAAAAAAAGTTCAAAATCAATGCAAAAGAATAATCAAGTTATTTATCTGTAATAGTGCAGTTTTTTATTTATATGGTGCTTTTGACTATTCAAAAGTTTGTTTTTATTTCATTGTAGAAACATCAAATGGGCAAATTTAATTTAAAAAAAACACTGAAATCACCCCAAATCCCATCATCCACAGGCACGCCCAGACTCCCTTCCAGATTGTTCTGCATGTCTGTGCACTCGCGAGAAGCACACGCATTTCTTTACAACCACAAACTAGAAATACTGCTTTGCAGCCCAATTTTCACTTAATTATGAATGTCCTTCTGCAATGTAACTGCAGAAGTGGGTCGTCACTTGGAGCTGCAGCTTCTTCACCGCATGTACCCACCTAATCTGCTGCTGAGCGTCAAGGCGCAGGGACCTCCTACCGACGTCACCCCACACACCCCAGCCACGTGGGCCATGTCATGGCCCTGATGGGCAGGGCTGCGGCGTAACTCCATCTACACCTCACCCGCTCTCAGGGAGCAGCCAGATGTGACAGGGAGGGCACACAGAGGGGACTGCCACAAACAGCCAGAGCAGCGCCCAGCAGGGGCCAGGCCCTTGCAGTGGCTTGTCACAGGTTGCAGTTACGCTCCCCAGACCTGTCCAGGGGCCAAGAACAGAAACAACATTAGAGGGAAAGGCCTCAGAGCTCTGGGTGGTGAAACACGCTTTTATTGAGAACATCTCATCCTGTCTGCACATGACAGTGTCACATGCTGGCTGGCACCTGGTGTGAGGAGGCTCATGCAGGTCGAGATGTGTGGTATATACACAAATTTACAGACACGGAACACTGCCGACTGCACCGAGCAACACACTTCTTGGCTAATTTACATTCAGATGAGTGTCCAGATTCTAAAATCAAATTAAAAGCATAGAACTCAAAGCCTAGGTGAGTGAGCATCGCGGGGCCTGCGCTGCTGACACGGGGACTGTGCTTCTCATCACTTGTCACTTAGGACACCCTGCTTCCCTGTGCCATTGCTGTCACTGGGGCCCACATCAGTGTTATCAGCAGGAGGTGCACCTGGGCGTCTCGGGCAGGACTGAGGGGCTGATGCACTCTGGCACTGATAGTCACCACCCAGGCAGGCCTGCTACCTGTCTCCCCCATCCCCCACATCCAGCAGGATTGGGCTTCCCTAAGTCTGACCCCCAGTGTCATGTGGGCCCCAGAGCCTTCAAGAATGGTGCTGAGCTACTTCACGCTCAAGGAGATTGTCACCCGCCACATCAAGGGACAAGGACATACACAACTGGACATACCCTGAACACAGTATTCTGCCCTTCCCATTCACATAGTTTGGGGGTAAGGAAAATGAATCTTTTGAGAGATTCCATAATTTCATAGAATTTAGAGACAGGAGAGTTGGCAATTTCCTTTACCTTGCTGAATCAAAGTTATGGTTGAGACCGTCCTTTTATTTCCAGTATAAAATATGTTAGACATGAAAAAGATACACCTGCATTGCCTTTTAAATTCATTTATCTGGAGAAAGGGGCAAGGCATGCAGCTCTCAGGTGTGGGGCCAAGGAATCGAGCCTCCCGCCTCCCCAGTAACCTCTGAAGTTATGGGAGACTGTCCTCACAGAGAGCAGGCATCCTGCCACTGGAAAGAAATGAAATTAGGAGAAAAACAAATTCCAGAGAAAGCAAGGCCTTATGAGATGTTGGCTTATACATTTTAAAATAGTTTTTAATTAAAAAGAAAATCTCCAAAGGAGGAAAAGCTGCACTGCGGTTCTTTAGCACCCTGGCTGGGGAGAGGTGCGTCCTGATGCTGTGACTGCAAGTGATGGTGGGTGGAGGGGGCCACAGCGTTCACATGAGCCTGAGGTGTGGAGAAGCCCTGGTTCAGACCCAGAACATGCCACTCCACCTGCTATGGGCTGCTGTCCCATGTGAGGGGACGGCTGGCCCAGCAAAGCTGTACTTAGGTGGTCCCCGGGGACAGTGTCTTTGTGGAATAAATACTTCAGGTTTAGCTGATAAAACAGAAATCCTCGTCTCCCCTTGTCAAAATGTCCTCAAATTTTAAGATTTTTCTCAAAAAGTTAAATTCTTTGTTGTCTCAGACTTTCTGTTGCGTCTTTAAAGTCCAGACCAAGGGCCCTGGATGCAAAGTGATACCTCAGTGAAGCCGGGCAATGCACAATGTGGGCTGAGGGCCCATCTCACGCCTTTGCTGTTTTTCTGACATGGACCAGCTGTCCTAGAGGCAGCCCGCCTCTGGCAAAGGGAGTGGCCACACCACCTCCGTCCCCGCATCTGCCCTGCCCAGGACTTCCTGAATGGAAGCATCTTGGTTCCTCCTGTCAGGGGGTGGCCAGCCTGGACCCACTGGAGGGGCCAACAGGCTGTGCCTACCTGTGGGGCTGTGTGCATTAGGCACTGGGCAGGGCATTGGTCGAGCTCATTCCAGCTATTTCCTGACTGAAGGGGAAGCAGATACACAGGACGGCTTTGCATGCATGTGGAATGTATTTCCACTAAACTTTGTAACCAAAACCCACATATTTTCTAAAAACTAAGTCTATCTCCCAAATCCCCATTGTAGAAAAAATACAATTTGTAGAGACAAGAATAAAAATGCAAACTCATAGGATGTTTTTTCCATGCAAGAGTCTGCTCTGGGGAAGGGCGGCGGTACCACCAGACACCTTTCCTTCTATAGGTGCAAAGGAAAACCCAGCACCTTTCACCTGACAAGCCCGGGCCTTGACGGCTTCGGGAGGACACGGCTGGTGTGAGGCAGGTGTTCATCCCTCCAAGCCTGGTCTCCAGCGCGGGGCCCTGAGCAGCACCCCTTCCTGCCAGGTTGGGACTGCACTGAGGTACGAGAATGAGCTGCCCCCACTGGACGCACGCACCCCCAGCAAACACCAGCTCTGCAGGTCCGGGCACCCAGGGGCCCTTCGACTCCTGTTCTGGTCTAAGCCCGTTAAGGGGTGTTCAGCCTGATGCCACAAGGTGCAGGTGTCTGCTGGGGGGTGGGCTCTGCACCTGTGCCTGCTCATAGTCCCAGGACACCTGCCTCAGAGCAACCCGAGCCCGAGGGGTGCAGAGTGCTCCTCACTCCTTTCCCATCCTGAGTGGCGACAACAAGGCAACTGGTGCAAATCTCTGAGCTTGGTCGGGGCGTCTACACCAGGGCATCACCCGCGAGGCTGCTACCGTCCCGGCTAGTTCCCTCTGTGGGGCTGTCCCATGCACTGTGGGTGCCGGGCACAGCCAAGTCTGGGCCGTATCATGCCAGTGGCACATGGGGTCTCACCAGCTCTCAAATATGCTTTGATAAAGCCAGAAAGAATAATTTAAAAACATACCTTACATGGCATTTTCTAAAAATAAACTACTTAAAACACGTCTTCGTCCAGGGAGCCTCTCTAGGCCGCTACCTGTGTGCCTGGCTCTGAGGACAGGGCAGAGGAAGCTCCAGGCCGAGCTGTGCAGCGGCCCCACCCATTCCTCCTAGTCCTGGGTGCTAAACACTGTTTAAAAACCCCAGTGAGTGGCCAGCACAGGGTCACTGGACATGTTTTATCTGTGGCTACTTAGAAGTGAACCAAAAGATGTTTTCTGTGATCTGATCCCACAAGGAGTGTGGAAGCATCTAGAGGCGGCTGCAGCTATGGGGCTGGGCCTCGACTGTGGGACCCAGGGTATGTGGCAGGGCCACCTACGTCATGCTGGGAGGCTGCTCTCAGGGAGAAGACAGGACCTACTGTGCACACTAACCTGTGAGGTCCCTGCGAGGAGAGCCCTGAGCTGAGCCATGTGCGGCCCCTCAGCTTCTACTTCCTGTCTTTTTTCTCCCTTGCCATATATGGACGCTTTGTTGCAATTAAAATAATGTGGCACAAAAGTGACCTGACATAATTACTTCTTATTTTATAAACCACGTTCCTAGCTCTGAATAAATTATATATTCAAGAATTTCACACAAAGTCGTTTCTATTTCCCTAAACTTAAGGAAGCCCTACTCAGTAGAACTCAATTTCTAAACGTAAACTGAGATGGGAAGCAGCTGCTGGGCAGGTCGAGGGGGGACGCTGAGGCAGAGACGCCAGGCAGTGCTGGGCCCCGACGCCCTCACGTCCGCCCCAGATCAGACGTGAGATGTCGGATGACACTGACACCCAGTCGCCCCCATGTCCCCCATGCCCTCTCCAGGCTGTACACCTGCCCCAGTTCAGACATGAGGTTCTGGGGGACGATGCCAGACTCCCGCAGCCCCTGGCACCCCCGAGGTGCCCACTCAGGTCAGGGTGTGAGAGAGAACTGGTCCTGCTCTGTGGGTTTCTCCACCCAGGCACCCAGCCCGGCCTTGATGAAGGCTGTGAACAGACGTGCCTTGGCGGCCTGGTACTCCTTTGCTGCAAGTTTGGACTCGTGGTACATGTTGGGTTTAGTAATCTTGGAGCGCAGTAAGTAGGGGGGGACCTGCAAAAGGACAAATACGAACAAGAACAACTGTTGACGTGGCCATATGAAAACAAAACCTGATAGAAACCCCCAAACGGTGTTCAGTGCCATGCTGGCTTCTGGAGGAGTCGACCCGGAAGGCAGCCTCTGCACCCAGCTGTCCTGCTTGGCAGGGCAGTTATAGCCCTGGGTTCTGAGATATGCTTCTGTCAAGCCACAAACTGTTGATTAGAATTTCATTTTAACATTTTTTTTTTTGGTTGCAGCCGTCATTGTTGTTTGGCGGGCCAGGCTGGATTCGAACCTGCCACCTTA